TTGACTTCCAAACATAGTCATAATTACCACCCTACTCAGTCAAATGTGACTACCCATATAGTCAAACGACAAAGAGCATAGTCAAAATGATTAAAGTGCATTGTCATCTAGAAGACAATCAAAATGACCAATTAAATTGGTCAAATTGACTAATTTATGTTTTCAGTGTATGTGTCTCTCCTTAATACATAGATTTGACAATAACTCAACATTTCAATATATGTATTACCAACACGCAATGGATCGTTGTATTTTACAAACAAAATCGGCTTTGGTCGGCATCCATATTCTTCATATAAAAATTATCTGACTCTGCGAGAGTATTCCATCCCTTTCTCTCACCTAGGCACGCAATTGTTATATCAATTGGGCGTGAGCATCTGAAAATTACCACCATTGAGTGTGTGCAAAAGATTACCCGATAATTTGATATTTTTTTCGGAAAAGGGGGCTGGGTAATTAGTAAATTTTCATTTTTCTCAGAAAAGACAGGAAATAGTTTTCATGAGATTCCAGGGGAGCATTTTTTTTAGATGAAAGAAGAAACTGCTTTTGTGCTAGGTATCATCCACTTTTACTGATCAATTCAAAAGAACAGAATCCTGTTTTGGTGCATTAGCTAGGTGTGTCAAGATATTATTCGAAAATATATTAGTCTATTAAGAATAAGATAAATAATTTGAAAATTCTGTCATTTTCAATTTACTACATCGTAGGTATCAGTTGTCTTTAGTGTCCGATATGGTGCAATTTGTTGTTTATTGATCTTTGAGTTTTTGAATTATATTTTATTCTTGAGCATTGCTGGAGTGCAAATCTTTGTGTAATGCATATCAGTGGGAAATCTAGTGACATAATATTACCTCCCCTGTAAACACTGAAAACTAGTTCTTCTCAATGTTTGTCCTATTTTAGCAAGGACGCTATCAATTATGGATTCACGGCAAAACGTTCTGGTAAATAGTAAAAATAGAAATAAATTGAAATAAAAACGAAACTTTCACTCAATATTATCATTTTCCTCCTTAAAAGTAGCAAACGCCGAGTACAGCATGCTATAGAAAAATTGGTTTAAAATGTTGCTATGCGAATAAATTCCTGGAGTACCAACTTCAATTTATTTTTTTACTGTCTGTATACTTCTCTGGAACATGCTAATTATTCGTATATATATACAGCTAGATCAGAGAAAGTAAGGGGAAAAAAATCCAAAGGAATCGATTTATATGCAGCAAAGATTGGCACTTTTAAAATTAAGTTACTAAGCAAAATCAAACCTTATCTCGATGTAAATATTGAATGTGAATAGATCGAGAAGACCATAAATACTTGTACAAAACTCGAGACGACCTTTTCTTAAAATTGTATACAAAATAGTAGAAAGATACATACTTTATAAAAATAGTTATCTTTAATTTTTACAGCGGATGACCTTGAGGGCATTCCGGTGTTATGTTGCCGCAGACATTTCCACCCACGTGACTTGCGTTTTTGACTGATAACCGTTCGAACGTATTTCGTATAAATGAGCGGATATTATCGAGTGCAAAATAACATTCCTTATTGCTTGTTATAAATTCATTTCTTCAATGAATACTCATGGAAATATTTGTTAAGAACATAAATAAATAATATGAAAATGTTTTGTCGTGAGAAATATGTATATATAAGTGAAAAAATCATTAAAATCTATGCACACATACCGAAAAATTGTGTTTGCGGATGAATATCTCTTATCGCTTTTTATATATTGATTTCAACAATACATATTCATTAGCGGGAGAAATATGAATGACTACTCAAATCAAACCTATTAGAAAAACGAATTATTACAGAAGAGTGTCCACCATGCACTTGCACTGCAGTATCATTAGAATAGTAGAAAAGAATGATGGTATAAATGGATGAAAATTTGCGGGTAGAGTTATTAAGATGATCTGCTATATATATATATATATATATAACTGTTATACAAATATTAACATAATATATAACAACAAACCAGATTATACTGATAACAAATTATTGTCCCATGATTATATCAATACAATATAATAATTATTACAGTGAGGTTGAATTCTCTGTCATTTATTCATCATCCACACAGGAACTTGTCTCAGAAAAAAAAATAAATCTATGTACCTTAACCTAACTTTCAGGTATAGAGATATTTTATTTTTTCTGAAACAAGTGCCTGTGACTATCCACCACAACTTGCGGTCATTCGATGTTCAGTACTTCAGTACTTTGATTTAACCGGCACAGACAGACTTTTAAATGTTTATATTCACGAAAAGACAATAGTTCTCTATTGAATGTACATGTGACAAAAGCAGACCGGTGTACTCAATAACTAATGTGTGAAAAAATAAGCATACTTTGGGAAGTTGTAACATGCTAAGAACTTTTTGGAACACTCAGAAAATTGGTGACCCGAAAGATCTTTCAATTTTGTATGTACATGATTTTTTCCTATTTTTTTTTATTAATATGCAGCAAAGATTGGCAGTTTTTAAATTTCAGTTTCACAAGCTTCTAACTTAAAAGCAATTATCTCGATAAATACTGAACATAAAACATCGTGTATTTGTTTGTATATTTCTAATAACACAGTTTAACAAATAATTTCTTTAAAATGTACAATAATTATTTAGAAATAACTTTTGATCAGTATCGTCACCGGTATTGTTTTATTATTGACTTTCTCGACTCCATCATAAGAAGAGTGAATTTTCTTTAGTTTTCGTTCACTGGATATCCCACTGATATATGTTGCATTAAACTTAATTTTACATATCTTGAAATTACTACCACTTGGTTGACAAGCCTGGTAGCAACTGCCTTTGTTCTGGATGATGATTACATGCAAATTAATTCTCAATTATTCTGTCGATGAACAGATGATATTTTAGCTGTGTTTATTGCTCAGCTATTTTGCTAGTTTTGAATTTCCAGTAAGTATTTAGTTTGGAGCGCGAGAAGCATTATTTTCCTATACACTCCAGAAGCATTATTTAAGAGGCGTCCCTAATCAAGTGGGGATATACTGTTTTACCTCTGTCTGTCCGTTCATCCGTCCATCCGTCCCATGAATATTTTTCGACGCATCTTTCTCAGGAACTACATCCTAAGGATTTTTGAAATTTGGTTTCAGGGTTTATATAAGTCAGCTTTACCGTATGATGCGTTTTCAGATTCATCACTCAACAACTTCCTGTTTACCGAACACTTACATATTTTTACACTACAATGTATTAAAATTATCCATGTTTGGGCGGGGGTATCATCAGTGAGCAGTAGCTCGCAGTTTCACTTGTTTTGAGAGACTGTTAAACAGATGGAACAGTTGCATTATAATACTTGTAAAAGACCTACCTGTTGATCCAGTTATTGTTTTTACTGCAAGAAATATGTTAATGAACAGAAGAACTTCCATTATGCATACAATGCGTGTCTATCGGAGATTTAATGAGGTCATGTGAACTTGCAAATAGATAATGAAAGGTTCAACATTTTATCTAGTAGACATGTCTGGTTTATGACATTGGATCACCCCAAGTTTTTGGTCATGTTCCTTTTGCTTAGTTTTTAGTTTTTTATGTTGTGTTTGGTTAACTGTTGTTTGTCTGTTGTTTTTTTTTTTCTTTTTTAGCCATGGCGTTGTCAGTTTATTTTCCACCTATGAGTTTGAATGTCCCTTTGGTATCTTTCGCCTCTCTTATAATGTATTATTTTGGCCGTAGACTGGGATCACTTACATATATCAGAAAACATTTCAATTATATTCGTCTTATATAAAAAATGAAAAATACTCAACAAAATATAATGGTTTTGTTATGGGCTTTGACAAATGAAACCTTTTTCCTAAACATGAAAGCAAAAATAATACAAATAAGTTCAGACAGCTTTGGATTTCTCTAGACTAGATATTTTTATATGCTTTTATGACTATTTACTTTTAATGAGTTTTAACTGTTTAGAATGAATGTATTTCACGCAACCGGAATGTTTTGTGTACTGTACAGTAATGACTGTTTGTACTGGTTAGTCCTTCACCAACAATTATTCCGAATGTCTTTTTTCTTACAGTGTCCAGTTAATTTGGATATTAATATTTGAATGATATCTCGTAGTTAGTACAATTGTTTTCCCTATAAAGAAAGAGACAGAAGATACCAAGTTGGAACTAAACTGTTCGTATTTTAAGGATGTGCTTAAGTCAGGTTTAGGATTTTTTGTCAGATGTTCAGACTCCTTGGATTTTTTCCTACGATACAGGGTAAACTATTTTGCCCCATAACATCCATTTTTCTTTTCATATAAGAATTCAATAGCTCATAAAAGGTCATTTACCTAAAATTTAAGCAGATTCTAGATTTCTTTTCTTTCGATTTGAGACCCAAAAAATACCAATGCAAATGTAAGTTAAAAGTCGAAGTCAACCTTTTCCCGCCATTTTTTTAAAATTAAATATCTTGAAAAGGAGCACCATAACCTATCAATATTTTTTGCTTATTTTATTCCTTAACTAATGCTCTTCTGACTTATAGTATCAATTATTTGCTATATTAAATTGATAATCTGTTATATCAAATTAATAATCTGTTATATCAAATTAATAATCTGTTATAACAAATTGTAAAAAGTAAATTGGCATGGTCCTAAAAGGTTTCCGTAATCCTTAAGTGGATTGCATTAATTTGATGATTTTTTAAACTCATATTCAACACGATAAACAAAAAGACTGAAGAAAAAGGAAATTAGATAACAGAAAAACAAAGGATATGGAGTATCCATACATGACACTAAAATTGAGAGAATGATGTGGCATACATAAGAGAAATTTACATATCTTTCAAGGATTTTTTTTTTTATTAATTTGATGTCTTATTAACGTTTCCCTTACTCACATTTACTTTACTTGATATGGACAAGTCGTTGAAAACCAAACACAAATTATTGAGCGCAATCAAACTTTATTTATTATTATGATGGTTTTTGTCACATAAATCACTTTCAATTGATGTTTCGATGTTGTCCAAAATTCATTATTCTTATTTAAACAAACTCTGGATCAGTGTTTTTGTATTTTAACACATATGATTCATTATTGTATATGGCATGCCGAATTTTCACACAAAAAAGTACCAAATATTCATAAAAGTTTGGCAAATGCATCCTTCATAATTTTAGAATAAATCAGAAGAATTTTGTCGTACACTTATATTCTGTTTCTGTTTCATGGTAAAGTTTATAATCAGTAGTTCGCTGGTTTTTTTCCACCACATACTGCAAATATATTAAAAAAAAATTAGCACACAATGAAGTGATATAATCATATTATCTAATTCAATATATGGTTACATTTTTTGTTTCATCAACATCGTATTTTGATTGATTGATTGTTGGTTGCTTAACGTCCAGTGGCAATTATTTCATGCATGTTCAGACATCGTATTATGAGGATTTAAGAAATGAAATATGTTAAAATTTGTTCCTTATCAATTACCTTTTGCACAGATATAAGTAATTTGGTTTCTTTTTTGTATTTCATAGAAATCATGACAACTTAAATTATTCATACTATTCACGGAATGTCTCTTTTAACGCAAATGTATCAATTTAGTTGTCATATATAATTATTTTACCATTTTTGTTGGTTTTCTTCATGACCATTCTTATCCTATTATTTCGAACCAATTTTCTAGTACAAGTGAATTCCATGCATCGCCTGGTTGCTTTTTCTCCTTCTTTCAAACATTTACCTTCAAACTTACATCCTAGTGAAATATATATTTAATTCAATTTCAGTGATTTTTTCAAATTATATCAACAATACAATACATATAAATGTTAATACTGTCCACACGGTAAACGTAACTGTTAAACATAGTTAAGACAATTAATGTAACTTCGATCACAAAAGATAATCAATTAGTAATTTTGTCAGGAAAGCCTGTCCTGATGTACGTCTATCTTAAGCTTTGTCGTTTGTTACAGTTCGTCTGCAAATCTAAACTTTATTCACAAAAGTAACCAATCTACTCACAGAAATACTTTTATTGATGGAGTTTACTAGAATACTGCGGCAATATTTTATTGTATCGCTTACAATTTTAGTTTTTTTTATACATTTTCTACTGTACGGATATAGATACAAAAATGCACTATACAAAACAGTATTTGTAACGGTCAACCATGGGAAAGAAATCTCTATTCAAACCTGAACACTTTTTTTCACAGGTTTTAAATATTATGTATTTATTTTTTCATCAATTCTGTTTGGAAGATTTAAAAAAAAAGTGCAGTGTATCTAATACGTTTCACCTTAATTACCAACTGTCCTTATATATAATTTCGTCTTTATAACTAATAACTTAATAAGTATTTATACCTTGCTTGAAGGGTGGATGGATAGATCAGTATTTCACGTCCAGTGACAAATATAAAATGCGTATCAGAACGATAACATGTAAACGTGATATGAATATGAACTCTCTTTTGTTCAAGACCGACACACTGAGCCGTATGTTATTTCATAAGTTAACCGGCCGCAGGAAAACTCGTTACCCAGAATAGACAAATTATTCTGACTCCTAAACGACAAGTCTTTGCTTTTACTCCTCAATGCGACCTTCTAAGCAGAGAAACACGCTACTACGAAAGCGCCAATTAAGTAAATACCAGATCTCTTTTTTATTTGTCGAAAATGTTTCATACATAAAAACATATACATGTTGTCATTTAACAACAAGCGTTAAAAACGCTGTAAGTGGACAAGTTACCTCTCTCTGTTTCTTCAAACCATGCTTTCTGAAAAAGTTCATTTACACGACAGGTTCTGGTCACGCATCTTCTAGTAGTAATGGATTGGCCGTTACCATAACACTTACCGAAGCGTATACATCCTGCAAAACATAATATATTGGAAAAAATAAATAACGGTGCATGAGAAAAACACCACAAAAAACCATTAAAATGGAATAGAGTCTTTGTTCCTGTCCTTCATCCTAACAGTTAATGTACTGTCTTTATTTATGAAAAGTCCGCATCAAAAGCCTTATGAAAATTACCAGACATTTTATAAATAAAAAATTCTGTATACAACAAACTGAGTAAACTACAGACCCTGTGTCCACGCTTTGCTTACAAGAATCTGGCAACACTCCGTTATACTTTCTGTTTTTGTATGTGATTACTACATCTTCCAATGAAAATCCTGCCTGCAATTTTTGTGAAGGTGTGTATCATTCCGAAAAAAAAACCAGAGGACCTGAAAGCTATTTAGAACACAAAGTAGAGCGTTATATTAATATTTACTTTTAGAATTTTGCACCATTCATGACTATATGGAAATCTGTTTTATACTAAAATTTATCTGAGACCATTTTTTAATGGTAAATCAGACTTTATACAATCCAATACCGAACACCAACACCTTTGCAGCAAACAAATATCGAATCACATGAAAAGCAGGGGTAGGCGCAGACACATAAGAAATGTTTTCAGCTTACAAGTTAAATGTTAGTTCAACCTATGTCTTAAGTGAAAGCAATATAATGTTACACTCAAACTGATGAAAAAATACATATGCCCAAATAGTTGTTTTTATTCATTTTTGAAAATCATGGACTTTTATTGAGTGTAAGATAATGAAACTTGTTAGGGAAATAGCAAGTTAGCTCTATCTTAATATCTGCACTAAATAAAGCACACACGAACAAATCTAGTAAGTTTCTTACAGTTGTAGAGCTGACACGTAAGTTACGTTTCAAAGTTGGCCTTTCACTGTTTCAATACTAGTAATATGACACACGATAATTTGTTCTCTTTCATTTTTAAAGTAAAATATCAAAATCAGTTTATCCATTTAAATCTGATGTAAACTACAAATGTTTCAATAACAACATCGAATAAGTTATATTAGAGTATGAAGAATGTGTTACTTGCTATTCTAGTAGTGAGTATTCTATAAACAGTAGATTTGAGGAGAAAAAGGTTTAATCTGAAATGAAAGATTTGGTACTGGACTGTACATATTTCAGGCAATCATATGCCTTAAATCTAATTGAAACAAGCTGAATGTACATAGAACGAGTCTTCGGTGTTCTATAGTAAACTGACCGTGACACGTGATCTAGCTATATACACATACGTAGCCTTTTCCGGTGATTCTGAATCGTATATTCAAACTTTGATATGTAGTTTGGATCAGACAGTGACCAGAAACGTCATGGAATTACTTTGACCTGGTCGATTATGGCTCAAATGTGATCAAATGCTTTAAAAATGAGTAGAGACTCGTTAAACAAATAAATTTTATGAAAAAGTAAGTTTTTTTTGGTAGAATATCAAAACAGCTCAGTACCAAAATGTGAGTTAATACGTTACCTGATTCTGTTAGGATCTTTCAATGGTAAGATTGTGGTAATTAGACTTACAGAAACTTTTAAGTACAGTAAATGGGAATGAATATAAAGAGGTAAGTTAACAAATAAGAGCTGTTGTTAGCGGTACATTTCTACTAAAGGATAGGTTAAATATTTTGGATACACGCTGTATTTACTTGGTGACAAAGATATTTTAATGAAGTTCCATCCGTCAGTAATACATTGCTTAGTGACACATCTATACTCCCATACCTCATTTAGCGCTCTACAACCTTTTGCATAGCCACAACCTTAAAACATAAATTCAATATGATCTAATATTACTAGATTGCAAGTAAGAATAATCTTATTAATATACAAATATATTTGTTATCCAATCTCATACAGAAATATGAGTGTGCTAGTTTGGATTTCTATATTTTTTAACCAATTTAGACTATTAATAATAATCATACAATGTTGACGAACACACTTCATCATCATACTTGGAAGTTGCAATAGACACTAAGTCTTACCGCCAAATTTCGGGTGAAGAGTAAGTTCTGTAACGAAATCATCGTTCATCTTAGTGACTTTGCATTGCCGTTTAACACATGGAGCGGTCCGTCCAGTCTCACCATCTTTTAAACATTTAGTTCCACCTTTTCGCCGTTCTAATTTGCACACTGAAAATTAAAGGAAAGTTTAAATCACTTTTTATGTTAGATATATCAACAAACGAAATAATACTGTTTAATTGTCTTTTATATAGAAAGAAACTTGCCGAGCATTGGTATAGACAGCGTATTCAATGAGCATAGAAGAGAGGAACTATTTCATTCAAAGAATTGAGAAAAACAAACAAAAACTAAATTTAAGTATAAATGCACAAATCTAAGGATAAGATTCGTTCTTGAAATAATCAAATTTTATTTTTATCCCCAAAAAAATTCTTCAAGTAGATTGTTCTATAATTCATATTTAATATAACTAGTAAGGCCGTGATGAGGATTTTTGTGAACAATATTTCTCATTCATTTAACATTTTAATGCCTTTATAACATACGTTTTCCTGATACTTGTGACATGAAACCACGGCTGGTCAAGATGCATGTATATTGCACACAATCAGATATCCATGTCTGGCCTGCATCGTAACATTTACCATCCATGTAACACACTGTAGATATAGGTAAAATATATTCAGTTAATATCAGACAACAGAAGAAGGTACCAGCTTGTGAAATATGACAATTGATATTTAAATAAACAGGATTCTGTATTCACAACTATGTAATAACACTTATAATGCTGAGAACAACTTTCAGTGATAGTAATTAAACAAATAAGTTATCAGACGCCTTTAGATGAGAGCATATTTTTAAAACATCGATCTTGTATGTTTTTTGTTCATATTCAAATGCTATTAATTTGATGTCAAAAGTCTGAAAATTGAGAACACGCACTTGTCTTTAACAAACATAGAAATAAACTGTTAATTAATTTGTAAAGGTACAGAATATTTTCTCAGAGACAAGACAGTGCCTGTGAAATCAAACTAAGATGATATGAAATAAATACAATGATGATGGGAGTTTTTAACGACCTTGACTGGCTATACAGCCCTCGCACGGTCGGAATAAATACAATGTAACACGTACACGAAATACAATGTAACACGTACACGGTTTTATAACAGGGAAGGAATCTCAATGGTAACAATACAAGCATACTTTTAACAATTAGAGACGCAAACCCTTTTGGCGCGTATAATGGAAGGACGCCAAAGGGAGTTGATCAATAGCACATCTTTCATCGTTAAACAAAAAAAATATTGATAATGAATATCCCAATTATTAATGAGAATTAATTTTTTGCAGTATTTCTTACTTCCCATTATCATTACAACATCCATAAAACCTGAAAGTGGATACTTTTGGAGAGGTCAGGTCAGTACCTTTGAAAAATAGGTGTAAATGACAGATATTTTTTTCTAAGCTCCGTGCCTTTTAGAATCCTCTAATTTCTTTTATAACTGTGATTACGAAATATCTCCCAGAATTTCCCTTCCCGACAGGAAGACTCGTGCTAGGAAGGCCTGCGTTTGATTATAACGCGCATGTTCAAGTCCCGCGATGGAGAAGTGACGGGACCATAATCGACTCAATGCAAGGCAAAATTTTGATGTAACGTAGCATAATATACTCTTTTTAAACTACGGTCGAAATTTCTTGCGTCTAATTTAAACCATCTTCAAAGGTGATTTTTTTTTATTTGGTTAACTACTTGCCATGCACTATTGAACAATAACTAGTGATAAACTATCTTTACTTACTAGAATAGAAGGGCTTCATCGAACCAAATTCACAAATATACATTTTACACGGAATATCGTCATCATGTATTCCAATTCCCTCTTCATATTCAATACCGTTTTTTGAACAATTCATTCCTGAAACATAAATGTAAGGAAAATAGTCCAATTTTCTTCCGATTAGATAGTATTGTCTTCAGTGGCTGAACTAACCTATCTTTAGTCGATGAAAGATACAGTATCGTGCGACAAAAGATACAAAGTATACTTCTTATATTCAACTGTCTGTTTGGTTGCATTTTTATTTATAAAGTATCTTTACATTTCGATTTTCTTTAATCTAGAAGTCTATTAGTATTTGTATACGACAAACATTTCACTGCATAGTGCAAAATTTTGCAAAAGTGAAATAGTTTGTGAAAAATATATAAAGTAGTAGACTAGATCTTCTATACTTGCACAATATTATGATCTACTCCTGATTATAAGCTACACGTATTACAGCTTAAGGATAGTGATAATTATTTGGCTATACTTATAGGTCCTTTTTGGTTATCTAGCTACTCACGTATCCAGGTATTTATACATCCTTGGCTTTTAATCCAGGAAAGCGCTTCAGACTCATGACATATACAGTGTTATTTTTGATACACGTCTTATATAGTCTGACAAAGTTTAAACCTTGAGTGAGCTAGAGTAGAAACTATCTTATTTGATATAAAAAAATATATATTTGTTACTATATTTTCAGATATGTTTTGAGAATTAAATTTAAATCATAAAAATTGGTAGGATAAATCTTGTTATAAATAACAATAATAAAAAATCTAATATTTTCAACGCGAACATCTTACCCATTCCAATATTGACACTGGCATCAAACGTAGTATCATCGGCATCATCATCAGTCATGCCCGTCCGGTCAATTACCATAGAACTGTAAATATCATCTTCGTTTTCTGACACTATAATTTAAAAAACCATTCAATGTAGTTGTGAAATAGTACTACAAGTCGTCTAACTCGCTTTTTATAATAATTTGAACCAAAATCACCATTGTAGTCCATCAAAACTACCTAATGAAACTGGAAGATACATAATGTTCAGGAAGAGTATTTCGAGAAAAGGTGAAAAGTCCTAAGACGAATGGCGAAAGAAGTTGCTTCTCAATACCATTATTTTTCGCAAATACCATTCCTGAATATGTAATATCTTCTGTTTGATAACACAGAATATCGTTGTACATGATATATCTTCTGTTTGATAACACAGAAAATCGTTATACATGATATATCTTCTGTTTGATAACACAGAATATCGTTATACATGATATGTCTTCTGTTTGATAACACAGAATATCGTTATACATGATATGTCTTCTGTTTGATAACACAGAAAATCGTTATACATGATATATCTTCTGTTTGATAACACAGAATATCGTTATACATGATATGTCTTCTGTTTGATAACACCGAATATCGTTATACATGATATATCTTCTGTTTGATAACACCGAATATCGTTAAACATGATATATCTTCTGATTGAAAACACAGAATATCGTTATACATGATATATCTTCTGTTTGTTAAAACAGAATATCGTTATACATGATATATGTTCTGTTTGGTAGCACTGAATATCGTTAAACATGATATATATTCTGTTTGATAATAACGAATATCGTTATACATGATATATCTTCTGTTTGAAAACACAGAATATCGTTATACATGATATATCTCCTGTTTGATAAAACAGAATATCGTTATATTATACATGATATATATACTGTTGAAAATGCATATACGCTTCGGCAAATACCACGACGGCAGAAATAACGTTTTTTTCTTCTTATAAATATACAATATGTGTACATTGTAGGAAAATATAAAATTTATTTGTATGAGCTACAGGACGAAAAGCGAGGCTCGCCGAGCTTTTCTCCTGTTTCGTAGCGAGTACAAATACATTTTATAATTTCCGACAATGTACATATATTGTTTTTATCCTGAAATTTACACCCAACACTTAAAACTTTAGTTGTTAAAATATAAATCATTGTCTCTAATTTTTCAAAGAAATCGACATAGTTTAAACGCGGACCGCGATAAGGACCCCAAAATGAACTGGTACACAAAAAGAAATATCCACATTACCGCTTGCTCAACATGGAAGCGGGGTAACAGAAGACTTTATTTGTACAAGTACAAATAAAGCAAAAATTTATTTGTGTACCTGTTATTTGTACAATAGTTAGCTGATTGCAGGATAAAAGAAAATTCACGAAAAATCCACTAGTTCTCCAGTAATCAAAATCGACTATATTTTTATAAGGGGTTATTATTACTTTCATTTATATTTTCGGAAAGAAACAAAGAAATCTCTAGTCAGGAGAAAAATCAAGAGATCTGATTCAAATTAATGAAATATGGTCAATAAATATACTCATCGTAAATACCAGGCTTAAAATTGTGATATCAAGACGCGCGTTTCGTGTACAAAAGACTCATCAATGACGCTCGGATAAAAAAAGTATATGACCAAATAAAGTACAAAGTTCAGCATTGATGGCCCAAAATTCTAAAACGTTTTGTCAAATACAGCTAAGGTAATCTATCCCTGGTGTAGAAAATCCTTAGTATTTCGAAAAAATGTAAGTTAAGTAAAAATTTAATTTTTTATCATTATCATATCAATGAGAATTCATCGGAACACAGAAGTGCTGACTACTTGGCTGGTGATATTGGATTAACCATATGGTTGAAAGAAAAAGTAACGATGACGTATGAAACACTATGGATTCTTTGTATGCTAATCATCAACAAGAATTATGATCTATTTTAGAGGTTCTACAAAGCATCATTCATACAGATCTGTCGTAGCAATTTCTTCGGGACATATATAATTGAATATAAACAGATTATCACGTATTTCACCCTTTTGGAAATATATATAAAGAATTTAATAAAGTAACAGAGATACACGAGTTGAATAGCGGGTTCTACACTGGGGATTTATATAATTAAAAACGGCGTCGGACATCAATGAGTACGTTGAACAGGAAAAACACGAAACATGAAATGATTATGAATTTACGATGAACGAAAATAGATGGCAATCGTACTACTTATGAACAGCATAGTTTAATTTATGTCTTGTAGTTTTCCGTGTAAGTGAAGGTAAATTGGTGTAATATGGGCAGCAAGTAGTATCAAAAGGAAAATAAATTTAATTTAAGTATAATCTTTATGTAGACAATACTTACCTTCGTTTTCATCCGAGAATCCAATATTATCTATCGTTCCTACACCAGTGCTGACACCATCCCCAATTATCTTAGATGGGTTTTGGTCAATACTGCTGTCGATCATATCACCAGTTTTAACTGGTATAACCTTTACATTTCCCAGCGGGATGTCGACATTGTTTTGAATGTCATGAGTATGCACTGGAGAGTTTGAAGGATCTTGTATTGTATCGGTTAAGAGATATGCTTGTGATTCTGTCACAACACATAGACATATTCCAGATAGCAATATTTCACTTATTTTCATCTGTTAAAAGAATAGTGTAAAAATGATTCAACAAAAATATAAATAACTTGACTAATATAATTTCTATTTAAAAAAAATGGAAGATGTGATATGAGTTCTCTATGCATGGTCAACAAATCTGTGAGAGATTTGATCAGACCAAAGACAGGGTGTACCGAAAATAAAGTGAGAGAAAAAAAATAGCCATAAAAAAAAAAAATCTACAACGAAAGGTGTAATATTGTAGTAAATGCCTATCAAAGTGGAGTAGACTGTTCCCGTCATGTGTATCATCAAGCACGCTTAAGGCTTAATGTTTAA